AAAGGAGGCGATGTAAGAACGTTACACTCCTAAAACTGACTTTGCAAGTAGACAATGTCTGTATGAAGTAGGTATGGGTATTAATTACATCTAGACAAAATAAGATTAGGGGTTTGTTTTCAAAAGTCGAACTATTATATAAACTTTTAGTTTAATTTTGAATGTGGTGTTTACAAAGCAATGTCATAATTAGGTGATGCATTAAAATAACACAATACTTAGCGAACAATTTGTCAAGGGGTTTATTTGTGATTAACAAGGCCGTGGCAATAGTTTTACTATCGTAACAGTAGCAGTTCGTTCTACTTCCTCGGAGCCGTTGTATCCTTAGTACACGTAGTCGTGGCTAGCCATGGCGCAGTACGTCACGCATTGCGTTCCGCCTCGTTACTACGTCACTATCTGTCTGTTATCAACAGTTAAGGCTTAATACAGGAGGTAGCTACGCGTGAATATTTTGTTGAAATTTGTTTGTGGGGGATTAATTTATAATCCAAGCCTACACAGGTTTAATTAATCTTCATCGAGAAGACTTTGATAAATGAAATTTTTAAATAAAAAGTTCATTAAACTTTGGTTTCGACTCCCCTAAGCTTTTAATTGTTATCTCAATATGAATAAATTATAAAAATGTTCACACAACACACCCAGCTTTACAGGTACAGACACACAAAAGCGTCGACAGTATGGCACTCACACAAGAGACTATGCAGCGTATCGTGAGCGTGACCCGTTCGATAGCCACCCTCTGTGACGTCAGAGAGTATTATTGATTTTCTCCACCCCATATTCTAGCACTTCTGCAGCCCTGGCAACTAAGTATGCCGAGGAAAACGTCTGTCTACGAAAAACTTGAGAAGGCGATGGAAAATTCTTAAGACGATCTCCATTCCTTTTAGTTTTCCAAAGTTTCAGGAGTTTTACCGTTGACCATGTTATGTTTATGTCGTCGAAATGTAGGAGGAAAATAATAAGGTAAATATGTATGTACCTATGTATGGTTAACTACAGTTACAGTGCACGTGTCTCACTTACATGAGAGGGGACTGTCATCGTGTTGATAAAGTTTATTATCTCGCATAACTAGTAAATTACCAGGACTGGTCCAACGACAGTCGAGTGTTGTTAATTTGGGAGCCCGCCCACGTGTTCTCGCCACTTCGCCCTCACTCTATCCGCCGGGCTAATCTGTAGAACACCTTCTTGCGCGTATTATCTCCTAGTACTGTCGGTTCATTTTATCCGTCAGTTTATCCGATTTAACCCGGGTTATCCAGAGCGGTTAATCCAATGGCGTACAGTAGTATTATTTTGATTTCGTTGAGTATTAGTCTGGTGCAATGTTACAGTCAATACAGTTTCGAAAGTCACAAGTATTGTGATGACTTATCACCGTATTATGGAGACATCAATTTGGATCAAATAGCTGGAGTTTGGTATGGTGTAGAGAAAATTCCACATACGAGAGGAGAATACAAAATAGAACACACACAGGAATGTTTCTACATTGACATCAAGGAGCTTAATATTGAGGTTGGTTGATTTTTTTGTTTTGATGAGTTATTAGGTAACTATCACAATAACTTGACAATAATTTTTATTGCAAGGTTACTTTTGTTATGATCCTAATATTTCATATCCTGAAGAAAAATGTTTTTCGTCTGAAGTTCTCATTCTAGTTCTCAAACTATCAAACTAATTCTCATGTAATATACAATTCGTAAATGGAAGTGACGATATGTATATAATCCAATAGAAATTAAATAACAAATGTAAACCAGATTAATTATTCTGTTATATTTAATTTTTATATGTTAAATCTGTTTTAGCCATAGTATGGTTCTAAACCCATTATGGTACAGTATTCAAAGTTATTTTTAGTGGGTGGGTAACAATCGTAAACTTGTCCATATTGCGGTTGTGATTTCCCGAGGGGGAAGACAGAGGTCAGTTATATACTTATTACTAGTACAGACTTTACTATATAAAAAATCTGTAGTGCCGGAAGCTGAAAGCGGTTTTCTCAAAATCTTTAATATTTCAGCACAGAACTCGGTTATATACACAAAAATATTTAGAAAGATTTGGTTAAAGATGAGTAGAATAGCAATAGAATGTGAAACAGATTTAATATAGAACACTAAACGTTTAACATTATCGTAATGGTACATTAACCTATAATTTCCGACAGGGTGTCTGTCTTACATAACAGGATACAGGGTGTCGAGTCAATTAATAGGTTAATTTGTAATTACTGTACACGTAAGTTCTTGCCATGAGACAACACCAAGTGGGCTATAGATGTTAATTAGACTGCCGGTGTCGTGAACCTGGTCACGAGTACCTATCATACATTTCCATGATGGCGTCCATTGCTCTAATAGTATCAAGTTTCCTTGCCATCACTTCGGCAGCCAACGTTAACTTCTGCCAGAATTTAGGTCCAACTCACGATTTTGATGAGGAAACGGTTTTAGGCATGTGGTACGTCCATGAATACGTATACCACAAAGAAAACGTTACCAAAACTGAATACAATCCTTATTGCCCTATCGTGCAAATCAGGAAGTTTGAAGATTACGTCGAGGGAGGATTGTTGAATCATAACTTAGTGAGTGTTCCGCGTGCTTCAATTTAAAACCTTTATTTCATTTTACATTAGATACAAGATGTGTCAATAACCAATTCCTAATTAGTAATAATACATATCATTGAATCTCTATCGATATTTCAATTCAGTTTCTAAGATTGTGGCTTTTGTATTATTTCAGCCAACTCCGCCGACCCCGTATCCTCAGCTGACCAACTCTCCGTACGTGAACCGTCAGTACAACATCCAGGAGCGGTACCGCATTAGACACTTCGTGCTGGAGTGGCACGAGGGACTCTGGCAGGACGACTACCACATCAAGGTCAACACTTCACACAAAGGGTTCTGGGCGACCGATGTACCTAACAGATGTAAGGACAAACGTTTTTCAAATAATTACAGAATCTAATTTCTTACAAGTTGAAATCTTCGTACAAATAGACCTTAATGAAGATGGCAAAATAATTCTGCGTCACCAATTTTGTTATTTGAAGTTCTAATTAAATTTCAGATAATACATAACCTTACTTACATAATATTTATTTTGTTTTTCTCCACCTTTCAGCGGTCGGAGACATGTACCGATTCTTTGGCGGAGTAATCCAAGTCCTCAAAGTGGCGAACAATCATTTAGTGCTGAACTTCTGCATGAGGCTGCCAAATTCGCAGCTGTTCAGTGTCGTGCTGTCTAGGAATGAGAACCAGCTTACTCCAGAAGATTTAGCCAGTATTCACAACGTGTTCACGTTAAAGCACCTCTCCACTTCTGCTCTTAAAAGAGTTTGTGAAAACTCCGCCTCAAAAATGACAATATCTACGTTACTACTCTTCATTATCTCGTATGTAATCTGGGGATCTCGAATTTAATCATTTAATAGTAAATTTTGTGTAATTATTATAGTATTTTAAATACACAAGCGATATTGATAAATATATTTTTATATTAAAGAAGTAAAATAAATATTTATTACCGAAGCGTTGTTTTGTGGAAGCAAATCTTAAATCCCTTTCTATTCTCAGCCTTCTAATCTTAATACCTACCCACTGACAAAGATATATAGGATCTCATCTTGTGCTCCGTTCAATAGGGATTACCGTAAGTCATGTATAAAATATAGATCTTGGGTCCTTTGTCGTAACAATACGAGAGTAGCAAACAATTGTTATGTATCACGTTTCAATTTATTTGTTCGACAAAAACCGTCTTCTAGAGAGGATCAAAATTTTGAAGATATTTATTTGAGATTTCATAGGCATTGTTTGGTAATTGACAATCACTTTCATATACCTCTAGACAGACCTATAGAGAAATATAGCAGAACAACAACTGATCTATATTTAGTAAATCATTTATTTCATTTTAATATAATTATTTCTTTGTTGATTTTAAAGCCTAGTCTTTACCTATGTAGATTCGTAAATAGGCTTATAAGGCTATTGTGATACCTGATACCTTTGTATAGAAATTCGGAAAGCATTTAAAATTAGGTATTGTAATATTGAGGAGTCGGTGTTACCAGGTGTCACCTTATTGTATTGTAGCTAGATTTTATTAAGGTTACGGCCTATAAATACAGGTACTGAAGTACCCAATGTTTGGAGGCTCGTCGATTACAATGAGAATAACGTAACATAGAGTGGGTGTACAATAAATACACCTACTTCTTCGTGGAACAGAGGCCTCCATTTTGTTTTATATATCCCGTTTTTAATTCTTCGAAAAAGAAGGCAGAGGTACATTAGGTAAATGTTTCGTTTCGTTAGTTTTATTTGTCCTATCAAAGGAGGTTTGCCTAATTGCTTATGACTATAGTTACCATTATTGATTCAATATTATTACTAAGTGGAAATGTGGAAAGCGAAAATCTTTAGTTTGTCCGATTCGGAAACCAAAACCATCACTCTGTCTATCGCTCTTCAAATCACTAAAAATACAGGGATGCAAATATCGGGTCTGATTGTTTGTTATGTAGATGGGGCTGTTAAGATAATATTAGGTGGGCACTGCTGAGCTTAACTTCACTTAGTAAGTGTTTAACAACAAACTAGGAAGAAAATACAATAAGTGGGTAACTCCCACTTACCCACAATTTGTTTTTGTCGATCTTAAAATCTTAGCAGAATTATCTTTATTTTTACTTGAAAGTAGTCAATTTTGATACATCACAAAATGTTGTTAGATTCACATCGAAGGAGATCTTTAAACGGAATTATTCTTTGTTATAGACAGGTATGTAAATGTCTAGGTAAAGGAATACAAATGTCTCTCGATATCTAAGTGAAAGGTAACTGACGGATCAAAGAGCAAATCTCAAAAACTATTTGATCTATGAAGCTGAAAATAGACAAGTTGTTTTCAGGTAATTTCTGTGAAGTGAGCTGTGTACCTGTAAGAAATTAAAGGTTAACTATGACGGCAAATACAGGTAAGAAGGTACCTATTACATTATAATACAGCAAATATACATATGGGTATCTACATATACATATATAACATAACATAACATCACGCCTTTTATCCCCGAAAGGGTAGGCAGAGGTGTACATTATGCCACTGTACAATGTAACACCCACTTTTCACTATTTATGTTATGAGTCCCATGTAATAGGGGGTGAGCCTATTGCCATATACCAGGCACAATTCTAGACTCCGTGCTACTACTGAGGTTTTTTTTTAAAACCCAGTAATACTTTGCCCAACCCGGGAATCGAACCTGAGGCCCCTTGCCCGGCAGTCGCACTAGCGACCACTCGGCCAACGAGGCAGGCAATGCAAATAAAATGCGTCCATATAGGTGTCTAGAACTTCTTCAATTCATGCAGTTTTTTAAAGTGTTGTAGTAATTATAAGTATCTACATAACTTTCACCTTGACCCAATTTATGTGTACCATACAGGAATGTATACCTACTAGTTTCCGGGTCAGGCAAAATAATATTAAGAAGGAAGGTATTCCGATTTAAAAAATTCTCAGGACTAGCCCGGAGTCTGGAATGAAGATACATTAAATATGTATTTGCTCTTTTGCCTGTCCTTCATGGCATACAAAATGTGTTATTCAATACATTTCTTACATAGCACAAGACACACGCGTATATTACTCGGTATCGAGTCCACTGAGTCACGTTGCAGTTACGCCATGCAGGGAGCATCACCTGCATCAATTCGCTAATAGATAGCGCGGTCGGGCTCCGCGCCTTGTCCCATATTCCTTGCGCACCCAGTACAAATATGTTCACCGCACTGCCCGCGTGTTTCCTGCTCATTGTGGCCAGCGTCCACGGTTTCTGTGGCGACAACATACGCTGGGCTCACCACTTCAACATAGAAGATGTTTACGGCATGTGGTACGGAGTGGGGTACGCCCAGCACAGCCCAGACAAGACGAACAAGCCTAACGAAATTGGCTGCGTCACTCTTCACATCACCGACGTCACCACCGAACCTCAAGATGATTGGCTTGATTGGTCTGTAAGTACCTAGGTACTAGGTTGTGAAATAAACTATGAAGTTAGTATGTGCCTAGGCACAAGCTATTTTCCTATTAAAACTATTAGACAAGTATAAATATAGAACATTTGAGAAATTTTTTGTTCACGTAATGAAAAGTGTTTCTCTGAAATATTATGTACATCTTTATTATGGTAGCTTATTATTGAAACATAATATCTTCTAAATATATATAACGTATCAAATATTATTATTTCGTAACCAAGAGCCCTGCCCACGCTGAGAAGATGCCGATGTATTCAGCAAATTAACAACCCACTTACTACTCATATTCTTATTACTTATCTTTCATTTTTCGTAGATACTAAAACACAATTATTCTGATGAAAAATGGCGTTCGTATAAGAGTAACCCGTGGTCGAGTGACGCCATGTCGGGGTCCTGGTTGGATATTCGCGTGAAGAGGGACATATACAAGGAGAGACGTCTGCGGGTGGTTTGGGATGAGGATGGGCAGTCCGTGGAGCAGGTCTACCTGTACAGCACGGACGCGCCCGGCTTGTGGACGGCAGATCAACTGCGGCCTCTGGAGAGAGAAATGATGGCCAGAGGAATAGGTAAACACTTTTTAACGGATTCCTTTCTTCTTTGTAATTACCAAATTATGGTGAAGTAAAGCTATTTGTATCCATTTTGTAAGAGCGTTACTGAAGCCCAATTTCCGAGAAAATCAGTTATTTTTGTGCCCAGACATAATCAAAGAAGAATTAGAAAGTTAATTATTACACAAACTGCTGAATTACAAAAGTATCTGGTTGAATTTCTTAATTTTGTTCTGACGGACAGTTACAATAATTGGACAAGGGACAAACCCTTTTCAATGTCAACTTTGTACATTTAGCGTAGAATTCATTTTCAGTTACAGGAATGTATTTATTTAACTTGCTATTGTATGACCTCCAAGCAGGGTGCTTACTCTTGAAACCAATCTCAATGTCAATGCAATGCCAATCCAATAAAATCTCAATAATTATTCGATGTCAAAACTATACAACGCCTATCGTAGCTATTAAAATAGCACTCAGAGGACGGAATATAAAGCCAAACTCAATACTATTTAGTTCATTAAATATTCATGCAATACGGATGCAATGGGCGCTAGTGTTGCAACTCAAGAGTACGAAATTTTACAATACCAATGTCGATCGATCGGTATTGAATTCAAGAGTAAGCCCCCAGGTCTTAAAACTACAAAGCTATGCTTAACTCCGACGACTATACTTTATAGGTAGTCCTGCATAAATTGCTATTACATTTATACTAGGTCTTAAGACTGGCAGAAATCGAGATGGGTTTTGCAGAAACAAAAATAAAAAGTTGTAAAAAAAAAATTAGGTACCTGTTTTGTAGAATTCCTGATTTAATTAAGTACTCTTCATGTTATTTATTGTACGAAAGAAGGTGGTTGGTACCATAGTAGCTCGGATTTTGCTCCAACTTCTAAATTTTTGTTGTTCACGTTTAAAAGTGCCTTCCTGGTCTAATTGAAATAAATGATTTTGACTTTGAATGCTGTTAAACATCAACAAACCCTATTTAACCCAGAAACACTTTCGGTTCTATATTTTTTTTTGTACAGAGATGTGGAACCCAGACGAGCCACCCAGGCATCCTCAGGTGATACGAATATTAAAAGTGACGCCTCACCTTATGATAATCAATCACTGTTCCGATGTCAGTGGGGGCGTGTTCTCCCTGATCCTCCGAAGGTCACCTTCCAGGGTAGACCGATGGCAGTGGTTTGAGTATAAGAGACAGTTCTACAACTTCGAATTACCAAATGTTTTACGGTACTCCGCTGTTTGTGCTGGCTGTGTTGAAACGAGCTCCTTGTTCATTGTTTTCATTTGTATAACAGCTTTTGTGGTTATGTAATTGTTTTTTATTGGTTAATAAATCATTACTAAGTATACCTAGTTGTTGTCGTTTTATTCGTAAAGATGGAATTTTGATAGATATTAAAGAATTATATTTTTATATGTAAAATAAAAATACATCAATACATAGTATAAAACAAAGTCGCTTTCGCTGTATGTCCGTATGTATGCTTAGATCTTTAAAACTACGCAACGGATTTTGATGCGGTTTTTTTTAATAGATAGAGTGATTCTTAAGGAAGGTTTGTGTGTATATACATATTGCACCCGTGCGAAGCCGGGGCGGGTCGCTAGTACTTAATAAAATATGTATTAATGCATAACACATGCAAGTATTGCAAAAGCAATATAAGTGTGGTTCTTGTGTAAGTAGACGTTTCATATTAATCAAAAATCACTGGTCACTCAGAAAGTCTATTGCATATACCATTATGACTCGGGCCTATCTTTCAATCACCTGTTAATCTTTTACTGTAGAATAAAATTAACGTTTGACGATTTTGATTTATCAGTTAAAATTTGTCTGGCGTTTAAAAAATCGGCCCTAAGCGTAGCACGTTGCTACTAGCTTAGCCATAGGTTTTGAGCTTAATACTAGAACATTTTTTTACCGGTTTCATGGTGGTGACAGTATTATTACGATTAGTATTGTAGGTACTATACTACCTGAGTAGGTATGGACCTATAGATATAATGGCAAATACTGAGTACATACTCAGTATTTGCCATTATATCTTTGTCGTAATAAACAGAATAGTGGGTGTTGGTACCTACTACCTATAACACTACCTACTACCTCTCCCTTCGGGGAAAAACGTTTATAATATTGATATAGTAACATTTTACAAACTCGCAATATTGTGTATAAAATCTACCTACGTACCGACGCCTAAATGTGAAATCGGTTGCCTACACCTACACTAAAGAGTGACAAATAAAATTAAGATTTTACCAGTAACGAATTTATTCCTACTGTCTTCCTATACATGTATTACTATAGTCAAATATAGCTACATACATCTACTCATACATAGAAACCAGTCTATAATATACCTACGTAATAGTACCTAGTTACTTATTAATGAGTCGTGAAACTTAACTAGAGCTCCTTACCAACAATAAAGTTGTTTATGCTAGAGGATGTACCAGTGGCCTCTGATCTGTGAACCAGCGCAGGAGACAGGGTCACACAGCTCGTGGACAGGACATTAAATTAACGAATTATATCAATTAACCGTTTGTCACACCGGATTTTATGAATCAGCTTTACGTACGTGAGAAATTACACAGTGTTCGAAATATGTACCTACTCCGAAATGTTCCACCAATCACCGTGCTTTGTTCGTCTGATTGCGTTGATTGATTCGCGGCTGATTGATACAACTTATAAAACATATCATTCTCTTTTATTTCATTTAGGTATCTTCTTATCCTTTTGGAACAAATCTCAACTGGGAATCGGAACTAAAAATGCTTGCTGCCACATTTGATGCACAATGCTTGCTGCGATGCATGCAACAGCTAGCCAACTATTGAATGACCGCAGTACCTATCTATTTAAACTGTCATACACCAAGCGGTCACCGGTGACCGCAACCTATTGTTCTATAATTGTGCCTATAATGACGGTACTCGACGAGTTAAAACGTTAATAATAACCTCTAATTATTTCAGACATTTTAAATTCGTTTCGCTGTAACAACAAGATTGTATTTTTCTTGTTAACTACAAGTACTTACCAAGATTAATTATATACAAATACCTTCAAAGTAGGCATGGAAAATTGCTGGGTACATACATAGTAGGTGGTTACATTTGTAGGTACTTTAGATTTTTTCCTGGACGGTAACGAAATTGGTCTGTATTATTGCTAGTTGTTTAGCGTAAAACCTCTTGGTTTTTGTTGATGACGTTTGGTATTTGAATACAAGTTTCATTAGAGGTAAGGTGGTGATAAAATCGTGTAAAAATTACTATTGAATTATCTGGCCAATAAAATTTACAAGGATAAATCGATTAGAGGCACAAAATGAAAGGATTTATTCTTTTCAAAATTAAAATAATAACTATAGACTCTTTCGTAGGCGCTAACCATATTGCTCGTAATGCGCAGGCTCATCTTGCTTTCGACGTTTTAGACATCCTCAAGATTTTAATGCACTCTTGTGGGATTCATGCACATTCTTCCGTGGTAGCGGTTTTAAGATCTTCTAAACTCGTAGGTGCTGGATAATGAGAGACAAACCTTTTTAGGTTGTTAAATAACTCAAAACTAAAACCTCGGTAAATAAGCGCCGTATGCTCGGGAAACAACAACAGCGTAGGCCGATTTTATGATACCCAGAGTGTATATTATACTATAATGCATTATAATTAAAATATATTAATGTCCAGTATTGTAAAGTCGTAATTTAACGTTATTGTAAAGTTTTGTTACCGATTTAAAATTAATCTTATATTATGTATCGATTTTTACGATATTATTGTGTCAGTCTCTAATCAAGTTTCGATCCAAATCATGCATGTCAGCAATAATGTCAATTTTGTACATATTTAATAGTTATACTTTTTTATGGGATAAGCTGCTAAATGAGCAGACGTATCACCAGATGGTAAGCAATCGGCGTCGCCCATGGAGACCCGGAACACCAGATGCGTTACAAGTGCGTACCGGGCTTTTAGGGATTAGGAATTTGAGGATTTTTGGGAATTGGGGAGAGGGGGGGATTGAGGGGGTAATTGGGGGGGTGCTAACCTCACTCACACGACGAAACAACGCTTGCGTTGTTTCACGTCGGTTTTCTATGAGGCCGTGATATCACTCCGGTCTAGCCAGCCCATCAGTGAAAATCGTTTTTACTGTAAAATATTCAGCTAAATTCAAAAGTTAATTTCTAAAAAATTGTTACATTTATTTATCAATTCAAGTTAATTATTTTTACAAAATAATAATATCAGCGTAAAATGGATGACATTACTATGTGACATAGTAATATGTGTCATTATTGTAATGTCATCGCAAGCCAAGTCTGTTACAGCTTTAGTTCTTGGGCCCCCACGAAGCACTAGTGTCCTGCTACCTGATTGGTTTAAATTCGAAAACCAATCAGGCAGCTGTGACATGACGTCTGATTGGTTGTAATTCGAAAGCTAATCAGAGAACTGCGACATGACGCAGTTGCGGCAAGACGTAGTAATGTGGTGTCATGGTGTATAGTCTGTTGTGAGTTAGAATTATTGTTTAGTTTTCCTCGGTTTATTCCTTGAGTTGAGATCCTGTATAGTTCAACTGTACCCTTACTTAGCCTTACTTCCATTCTTTTTGTTACAGAAGACTACACTATGCCAAAATTGCGGAAGTGTTGTTGCAATGAAAACAACAAACCTCATTGTCTTTTTCAGTTACCAAAAATGATAAAGTACGGGATTTGTGGTTATCCTTTCTTATCTATACTTATAATAAATCTGTAGAGAGGTCAATTCTGTACATAAAATATTTTAAAAAAATAACTATCAAGGGGTGGTTAGGGATCGCTACTGATGCCAAAAATGCAATCAATAAAATTTTTGTCTGTCTGTCTGTATGTTCGGGAAACAAAAACTACTCGACGGATTTTAACGAAATTTGGCACAATTATTCTTCATACTCTTGGGCAGGTTATAGTATAATTTTCATTACGCTATGATCAATAGGAGCAGAGCAGTGAAGGGAAATATTGGGAAAACGGGAGAAGTTACTCCATTTTTTAAGCTTCCGTCGCGTGTGCAGGCTTAATAGTTAAAGCTACATAGAAATCATGTATGACAGAAATGTTCTACATAAAAATATCTAAATAATATCCCACAACAGCACATGTCTATCTTTTATGGTTGACTTACAATAACACGTGTAACTCCCGATAGCTTAGCAGTTCGGAGCTTTCTGCTTACATTTGTTTACTCTTACGTTTACCGGTTTACAATACTCATCCATAGACTTGACGCTGTAACTGTAGGGTCGATGGCTGAAATTAGCTTTACTCGATGTTATAAATGTGAAAATATGTGAGCTTATGTGTTTGTGTATGTTTGTTACTCAGTCATATTAAAACGACTGAATGATATTTTCCCCCTGGGATCGCGGGCGAAGCCGCTGGCAGAAGCTAGTTCTTAATAAAGTGATGTGAGGGGAAATAGCTGGAACCAATACTTACCTAGACAACCCAATATACCTATGTTCAGCGAAATTGTTTTGTTACAGAATTATACCATATTTTTACAAATATCTAAAAATAAATACCTTGACACATATTTACATAGTCAAAAAGATTTATTTTAGTAAGTTTTGTACATCAAATTTTTCGTGGGTAAGTACTCTATTCCCATCAGGTATCAAGTTAGAAATATATTTCCAAAATAACTATCAGAGAGTGATTAGGGATCGATACTGATGCAAAAAAGTAATCAGTGAAATTTTGCCATTCTATCTGTCTTTCGCATCACGCAAAAACTATCGGTGCGATTACGATAAGACTTGGTACTTTAATATTCTGTGCATCACACTGGGTATTTTTTTATCCCGAGTAAGTAAGTAGTAAACTACTGAAGTATATGCACTAAAAACAAACTTAATTATGCGGCTCGATCCCTAGACACAGTTACTGTACCAAATGCAAATATAAGTTTGTCGAGGTTAGGTTGCCCGCAGCGGACCTTACCCTGTAACTGTACCAACGGCGCGTTGGTAAATATTAGCTTAAACCGCTATTATTAAAAAAATGTTTTTGTGAGGTACGTGACATAGTGATGGGTCACAATATTTTTTTATTTATATCGATCCTAAATCGAAATCCTTAACGATATTTGAACTCTTTAAGTTTCGCCCACATCCCTGGCCTCGTTGCGATACTAGCGCTTCGTGGAGGCCAAGGAACTAACGCTCAAATTTACCACTGTCCTATCTGTCTCTGACTATTATTAAATATTAGGCGACTATATTAGGTAAGGTACCACTAATGTGGAACAATATGCTATAATCTTCATTCAAGATCAACTTACATGAAGTCGATTATAGAGAAATAGTGTCTTAATACATATTTCGTTTCTCCATAGATACTGAAATACAAGTAACCTTGACGAACGAGGAAGGAGACAGTAACGTAATACATGCACCTGCTTGTCTAGGGTTTTATTTCATAATCGTAGTCCTGGAGGAATAGGCACGGAAGTACCTACGACTTAGAAAGTGCAGTAAGTTTGGTTTTAAGATAATTCTTTTAAAAACTTACATACTTAAATAAAATTTAACAAACTGTTCAAATTGTTATTATTAGAATCAAGAAGATTTACAATAAAAAAATATTTCCATTGTAATTCGTACGTGTCCTACGTACATACATACTTACTGCATATTTGTATTGCTGCAGATTCTACAGTCGTCTCAAATTAATAGAAAATATGTTTAACACATACCTACAGAAGGCACCCATCAAAGCCATTTATTATAACAGGGGATCGTGTATCTAATTAATTAAGTGAAGTCGACATAAGAAATTGTAAATGTGACTTAGACGTGTTCTCATCTCAGGGAGCAGTGGTCGTGAATTAGTCGTAATTAGTTTACTTCCCACTCCCATCGCGAGCTCGCACCAGTCACACATTGTACACACAACCTTACTACCACGCAACGACACACGCCGAACTCCACGAAACAAGTAGAAATGTACCGAAACGTGGTCGTTTTAATTGTTTTGTGGAACACAGCTGAGAGTGCCAACTATCAGCGATATGCTGAACCTGGTGACGCACGATACGCAACCCCTTCGAGCTATTCCTCGACTGTGAGCCCATACAACCAATACCCCTACAAATCCGGTAGTTATGGAAGCGATATAGCCAATTTTCCTGAAGTGACCAGGTATCCCAATTACGCTTCTGGAGTATCAACCACCAAATACAACTCCTACACTACGCTGAAATCGAATCTGTTTTACCCTCCGGGCGGCTACAGTACTCCGACTTATGGAGATACGTACGGAAGAACTTATGGGCAGGAGTACGGCCAGGGGTATGGACAGGGCTACGGGACTGGTTACAGCTCTTATGAGGTTCCTTTCATGAAGAACATAAGGGACTACTGCGTGAACAGGGCGCCGCAGCAAGGGATCTGGGTGGAAAACTTGATGGGCATGTGGTACGGTGTAGAGTTCGTGCAACATCTGGCTGGTGACTCCAGGGTCGACTACGCGCGGACCTGCATCGTGATTCACATTTCGGAGCCCATTGACCAGGTTAGTTTATATTTCTGTATTTTATTTGGTGCCTTTGGTCTTCCAATTATCATTATGACATGAACTAGTCAAATGAAATATTTTTTTAATGTTGCAAGCTCTGTTATTTTTATACTATTTACGATATCAATTAATTGTTGAGTTGTGAACATTACTTTTTTGTGGAATCTTATTTTTGTGTCAAATATCACACATTTACCATATTTAATTAACTTAAAACTACGTTAAAATGTCAGTTAATCAATAAGAGTAAAGTTGTTTTTCGAAACTCTAATAGACTATTAAGTATTTGTTGTCACTATGTATTTATTTTTCACTGTACATTGATAATCGCAGTACATCTGAAGGTCCTCATATTATTCGCTAACGTCATTATTTTACTGAATTACTGTTTTATCAAGGACTCATTACATTCCATTAGTTGATTAAGATAACGCTCGTTAAGGTTGCTACTTAATATTTTAATTAGGTCGATACGAAAGAACCATTTCCCTATGGGAGCCCCTATGGATTTGTTCTCAATAATAGCTATATTTCATTTAAATGTACTTCCTACAACAATTAACAGTACGATTAAGAGAAATACATAGCTAGTTATAACAATTAGTACTTTTATTAGGTTTTTATTGAGCCTAATTTAAATATTCGGGTTGTCGGAACGCGCAGAGATTCACGCGAGACACAATGACAAAGAGTATAATAAGTATAGGGGTACCTACACAATGTATATTATTATGTCGCGTAGCAACAGTTGATTAATAATCAAAGATGTCAAAGGTTTTTAATAATTTCTCGAATCGTTAATTTTGTAAAAATATATAACATTTTGTAAAAATATATAAATATATAACAGGGACAGTGACGTGACTTATTTATGAATTTACCGATCAATGGCAGCTTAATGTTAAGTTGATTGCTATATTTCTATATATTTATACTTCGTTAACTCGTCGAGTACCGGTTTTGTAGACACAATTATAGAACAATAGGTTGCGGTCACCGGTGACCGCTTGGTGTTTGATAGTTTAAGTAAAATACATAAAAAGACGACGACCCCATTTTACAAGCAGGTCAGAATCTTGAACACAAGCTTTAATATGACCTTGATGATTAAATTAGTCTCAATAGAGATAGCAAGTGTTTATTTAATTAAAACAAAATTGGATCAGTAGTTAAAGTTTATCAAAGCTTTCTATTAAGAAAGCATAAACGGAGAGCGAGCTATGCTGGACCAACTGGCAGGCCGGCAGGCCGTCAATTAGTGACGTCCTCGCATGTAACGATTGTTGTGACAAATACCACCCATCTCTATTATTCCTTGCCATAGACCTATGAATGTCATACACTCGTATTTTCAATTCAACATTCGCTACAAATTTTTTTTTGATACTAGGAATAATTGAGAAAAATTAGGTATGGAAAACTCTATCATTAATCGCCTCATAGAAGCAGAACAATTCAGGTTTTTTTAATCCGACTCACAAATTAGCAAATTGTTCACTTTTATGCTCTTACTTCAAATTGATATTCAGTACGTATATACCTACATACATTGTATATAGGTACGACAGATAAACAATAACCAATCACAATCAATACTCAATTTTCTCGTACCGTACTTATAAGTAATATTCCCAAATGAACTATATTGACGTGTTCTTGGAATTCCAAAAGTACATACCTAAGGTCTACTTCGCTGTCGGTAGTAAAATGCTGAAAGTACCGCCGGTTTTTGACCCAACAACACCAGGCACAAACATAATACACGCAGGGGAAAAATAAAAAATAAGATACCGGCCGAAATGGAGAACCTCCTCCTTTTTGGGATGTCGGTTAAAAAAAGAAGAAAAAGTACTTAAATATAGAGAGACCTATTTACAAAAATTAAAAAAAAAAACATAAAAATGTGTTTTTTTAAACGAGATAAATTTTTATCGAGAATGCCAATACCTTGCTATGCTTAATACCTTCTGCATTCTTGCTATCAAAGTATCTACTAGATAAAAAGGTAACCAATGTAATAACTAATAGGGTATAAAGTCTCTATACGTATATATGTACGTCTGATAGATTATAAAAAATACCTATATTTTCATACTCTATTGCCATCTCTCTATTATAAAAATATTTTACGATACAAAACTCAGGATTATCCTAGTCGAAGGATCGTTACGATTGGAGTAAAAAATACGTCGATATATTTGTTTTTTCATGAAACTGTTTATTTTGAGAAAAATAACAGGATTTTCGTTAATAAGTAGATATTTATGTAGACTTACTTTAATAAAAGCACCTACTTAAATCAAAATAAGATAACTCTTAATTCAGCCAAAATTCATGAGTTAAGATATCCCTATTTGTACAAATCGTTCGTATCGTATTACAAAATTGTTACATAATTACATTATTATTATGCAAGCGCAAGAAGACAAAGAAATCAAACTTGCGTTTTGGATTGATTTCGATATTCATAACACTACTGAGTTTTATTTATTTACTTACTGTAATTATGAACAATATCACTGTAAATATTGTTTTAGAATAATAACTAAGTTCCACAATTTCGGGACTATTGCGATATACTGTTGACCTCATAGAAAATTATCCGGTTGTTTCCGACCATAACAAAAAAAAATCGATTAATTTTGATATTGTTCAATTACATTGTTAACATAAAATATTATGTAATAGATACCTAATAAGCTCAAATCGAACACACAATGTTACGTTATTCGTTGCGCAACAGTGCTTTAAGTGATAGATATATATTTCCACCTGTTTTGTGAAAAATATTAGAAAAGAACGAACCCCAGTATTTGTTTATAGTAATGTTCAGGGTAGGTTAAAGCGGTACCCTATTTGCTTATGTTGTGAAATTCAAAGTAATTTTTAGTTGCTTTTCCTCGTTCGGGGAATACCTACGGCGAGGCGGCTGCGATGCCGAGTCTGTTCGTATATAAAAGCGTTCGGGTCAAGTTTGATAACATCAAGCAGCGTGAGTCAGGCGCGCGCGCCGCTACGCCTCAGTCGGCTACGATCTTTTATAAGCGCAATATTTGTGCGCGCGCGGAAAAATCGAATTATAGTCTCACTCGAGATATATTCGAATTTTAAAATAACATCATAGAAGTTTGATTGAAGAAGAAGTGGAGTTTTGTAGACGAATACCTGAAACTTTAGCTTAAGTTAAAAATGGAGTTATTTTATCGAGTTCTACCTTGGATGTTTCTGTTTACGTCCATAGCTGCTGAATATATTGTGTACGACTTTGGCCCTTACACAAACCATACAGTAAACTACACCAGTAAAATAGACAATGAGACGACGACTGTGATTTGTGCGCGAGAACACTTGTACGACAGACTGGACATTAGGAAAGTTCAGGGCAAGTGGTACGCGAAGGAGTTGTACTTACACCTCAGCAAGGAAGGTGTCAATGAGTACAACAGCTGTCCACAAGTCACTATCTGGAAAGAAGAACAGTTCCCTACCACTACGTTTGGGGTAATGTTGTTGCTTTTCAATTGGGAGAATATGAGACGACGAATTCTTCTGTAACTAACATTATTATAGAAGTTCAAGAAATCCTGCTTTGTGCATGTGCCTAACTAGTTTATAATTCTTGAATGTTATTACAATAACGTGGACCCCCTGTTCGTTCGTGGTGGTCCCCATAGTGATGGCTGTGTAATTTAGGGTCTGTGTATATAGGACTTAGTAATAGTTTTACATTCGTGTGCATATTGTTCGTAGAGCACCACTTGATTGTATTGTGTAACGACTTCAATTGAGCAAATTTTATTGTATAACGGCTGTCGGTCGGTAAGAATTCCTTAATGATTTTCTAACATGTGTGTCTGTTTATGCTGATCTCTATGTTACTAGTACAGTAATAAGACTGAAAATAGAAGTTGCCTACTTATTATTAGAAGAAGGCTGAATATTTTCTGTTAGTGTATTTATGATAGACATAATAATAGAATAAATTGTGTCTACGTTTTATGTAGATACATGATATATATGTGTATTTCGAAGACAGGATTATTTACTGCCGAATAGGAATATTTTGTACTTATGTTATGCTAGTGATTGTAAAAGGGATCTGTTAATATTAGGTTTTGTTTTAATAGACAATCGGAGTCTGAAAAACTGAACCACCGATAGAATTAAATAATGTATTGTACTTACTTATTGTTTGCAAATACTATAACTATAATATATTGTAAAAATAATAAAAATAAAACCATAAGATTTAATAGTGTACATTTTTCTCTTCGTCTAAATGAGTAACACCTTGAAATACATTAGATACTTAAAAATTGAGAACAGCGTGCGTACCTACGTACGTGTTCATCATCATTTTTAAATAACCAGTCACGACTGGAAGCCATCGCTTGATTTCGATAAAAATGGCTGCACTTGGTCCATCGCATCGTGTGGAGTTTTAATTTTAAATAGTAGGTAGGTAGGTAGGTAACCTACCTACATTTAATTTACAAATGTTCAACCACGTGCCCACTTTGTGCACTCATCCAAGGTATACCTTTCATTTGGCAGCATTCTTAATCTATGAACAAAAATATGACTAACCTATGAATGTATAAACCACTATGTATAAACTAAGGTAACCTTCTACCGGTATATACATCAAAAAATAACGGTATATATAGGTACATACCTACTTTCCTCTTACTTATTAATTACTTATTAAACCAATATTTAAGATATCCGTCGAATGTACCTACCTTAACTAAAGCCTATTTATTAAAACTTTTCAATATGAGGTTGCTTAAATTGCATTAATTTTTCAGATAAAAAACTTACCGAATCTCCAAAAAGCAAGATTTGATCCAGTTATTAGTTATTACCTAATTCGATAGTCGTGACTTCCTCATTTTTTTTTTATTAATAATAAAATTAGGTATGCATAGGATAGCTACAGCTAATTGAATTATGAAATCACAGTGTTCGGGTAGATATTGGTATACTAACTAGACATT